GGTGAACTGATTAGAAAAATTTAACATTAAGTGATAAATTAAAATATCTCTTAGTTTTAACAAGCTGCATAAATTGTCTTACACTTAAAATTAGCTTGCATGCTGAACCTGTAATGAAAAGCATATTGAACTGGACATGAGTGAGGAAGAAAAACATTACCTAAAGTATCTTCAGATTGCATTTTCTAACAGAGAACTCACTTTTGAACCCTATTTCAACATGTTTTAGACATTCAGCATATTGTGCTTATGTTAATGACTGTAGGTGTAGTAAACACCATATTACCCCAGATCCATATGATTCCAGTTTTTCCATGCATTGCCAGAAGGCCTACATCAAAGTTAAACTTGGAAAATAATGATACAAAACATGATTCATTATTTTCTTTTTTTTTTAATTCAAATTTTCACCTTCAGAACACTTCAGAAGGCCAATTGATGCACACAGCCCTTGGACATAATTTGGTTCCATGAATTTTTTTGACAGATAAAATTTAACTTCTCCAATAAAGAAGAATAACTCTGACTTACAAGTAAGTTCTTGAAAAGTTTTTTACCAAAATCACCTGTTTTTTTGTTGTTGTTTTTCTCAGTTACGTGAATAACCAAAAGTCTGTGCCAAAATTTAATTCAAGTGTTTGGCCAGGCCCAACAGAAAAAAACAGTTTCCTTATTTTGCAGTACATCAATAAAGCTGTGGGACAAAGATCAATAAGTGAGAGCTAATGTCCAACCTTAAGCACCAACTTGTCCGTTATATAACCAGATGTTATGCTACCAAAGAGTCCACCTATCTCTAAAAAACTCATAGCAACACTACCTGGGGATAAGAAAACACGAACATTAAAAATCAAAGTGTGAAAACAAATAATGATATGCGACAGTGTTCTCCTTTTCAGGTGACACACAGTGAAATTCATTGCCTGTTGTTCTCTTTACATTTCACCTGGTAATAACAAGGAGCTCGAGAATTTGGTTGACAATCAAGAGCTTCCCAAATTGGAGATCATTTCCATTATT